ACTGCGTGGTATGCACGCGTCTAGTGTTTTTCTCAAGCATAACAACCGAGCCATTGAGTTGAGGAAAGTAGTATTGCCGCATGGCTCTATTTAGACCAGATATTATAGAGAAATGAGCTCTTTCCCCCATTTTAGACCTGCTTAAAGAGGTAACAGAATAGAATATTGGCCAGTTAGGTGTTTTTGTCCTTTGTGGGCTTAATGCCGGTTACACCAGATTCAGACGAATTTCCGCGCTTTCTGTTCCTTGGGGCTCTGTACTTATCTTAACGATCTGGGTGGGATCACCCACCAGAGTGATGTAGGTAATCGCAAGGCTCTACAGTATGTAATACTCCAGGTGCATCAATGAGTAATGTGCCTGGCACACAAACGCTATTATGCCATTGCAAGCTCTCTGCTGGTTCCGGTAAAGTACAGAGGAGACGGTCAAGACAATCGTAATTCGCCGCGCCGTCCCACACGCAGAACATCGCGCGAAAATAGGCACCGGCAAAACGAATAAGGTTCTCCATAGAGACAGCAAAACTGACGTCCATAGCTTGAAACGTCCTCTATTTGAGTACTTTACTGGTGAGAAAAAGTTGGCATCAGAGCATTATATATGCGAACTATCCAACTGCTTTACGCCGCTGCGGATCGCTGGCCACGCCCACCAGCGCGGCGAATTGCGATTGTCTTGACACATACCCAATCACATATAAGGGGCAAGTAGTGCAGGAATGTAATCATTGCGTTCATGCACGCCATTCGCTAGGGATTCTCGGTGAGGGGATCGTAACTGGTCGCTGAGGTGGGTGGGGCGGGGTCGTATTTGCCCTTGAGAACAATGTTCTCGGTTGTTGACTGCTCTCGGTTTTGTGCGTTAAAAAACCTCGGATAAGTGAAGGGAAACAGGGAAAATTCGGGCAGATGGTAGTCAGGATGGGTGATGGGGAAGGAGTTTATTACAGAGGAGCAAATTTTTTCTGGAGAGGGGGTCGTATCTTGCAAAAATTTTGCAAAATGGCACGATGTCTCCTGACTGCGCTACAAAATAACAGAATACGTGTCTACTAATGGAAATAACTGTCTCCTTCATGCTATGATGGATATCTTGTGTTATTTTAGCTCTATGGTGGTATGGGAATCATCCACGGCAATTTTCCGAAACCAGAAGATCAAGCAGCCGAAGTGCTCAAAGTCAAGGTAATCGGCTATCTTTGATTCCCGAAGACCGGTACGACTGTGATCGTTATATAATGATTCCTTTTA